TTATATAATTAATTTTAATTTTAAATTGATTAATAACACAAATAAATTGTTATGATTGGATCTCAAATAAAATAGGTATGCACTGTTCATGAACTAAATATGCATTTCGTAAGAACTTAAATATGTATCATGAATTAAGTAAATATGCATAATAATTAATTATATAAATATTATTATATATTTAATTTAAATATAACAAATATGCATTTCGTATTAACTAAATATGCATCATAAATTACCTAAATATTCATAAAAAATTAACTAAATATGCATTATAATTTACCTATATGAAATGCACATTTTATTGCATGTTTTTCGCTGCATATTTAGTTCATTCATGATGCATATTTAGTTCATAACAGATGTATATTTAGTTCATAACAGGTGCATACTTAGTTGATATTATTGGTGCATATTTAGTTCATAAGAACTGCATGTGCAATTCATATCACATGCATATTTAGTTCATATTGAATGCATGGTACTGGATGCATATTTACTTCATACGTATAATGCATACTAGGGGTCAACGGGTCAACGCCAGAAGTCAACGGTCAACGTCGTAGTCAACGCCGGAAGTCAACGGTCAATGGCGAAAGTCAACGATTTTTCGCCGGAAGTCAACGGTCAACGCCGGAGTCAACTGATAATTATTTTATTATCTAATTAATATATATTTTAAGGAATGAACTCATTTTAAGGAGTGGACTCATTTTAAGGAGTTGACTCATTGGATCCTCCCTATATATATATATATATATATATATATATATATATATATTAACCACCTATTCTTAATAATAATTGACGAAATATCTTTGAAATTAAGAGAGGTTTATGATTTGCTTTCATCGAACAAGAACCGATTACAATTCATAAAATCCACACACACACACACATAAATATATATATATATTATTTTATCATATGTATTTTTTTCATCTTAGTACATAATTGTATTCAATTAAAATCTATATATATTATGTATATGTCCATAAAACTACCATAAGTTATATTTCAAATTGAGTTGCGAAAAAACATTAACTATTGGATGTTAAAAGAATTTAAAAACTACAAAAATAATTATTTTATTTTGGTAATCCTTATGAGACACTAAAATCTAAGATCTCATTTTCGAATTAATTGTTTGAAAAGAAAATTATATTAATATACTCTTCCTATTAAGAAAATCATTAAAATAACTTAATAAAATTATAATACCGAATGTTTGGAAACTGACTTTTATGAAGTAAGTCTTTCCCAAAAATTGGAGAGAATTATTTATTTAAAGGTGATATATTCTAAAATAAAAATAAAATGAAAGATATCTTTACCACAATATTAAATTAAAAACGAATATATCGATTATCTTATTAATAAAATAAATTATAACTTAATAAAATCAAATATCTTCACTTTTCGAATACAAACTTTATATGTACTATATCCAAATCTCACAATATAGGCCGAAAGAGATTAATTTATTTGGACATAATATATTTTCAAAATATCCTTTTATTTAACAAGTAACTATCTTTAAATTGATTATTGTTCATGTACGTCTTATCACTTGTGGATTTTTTTGCATATAAATGTTTATCATATAAATCTTTCAAATTAAATCATGATATTTTGCAATTAAAACATAATTATCACTTTATTTATAAAATAGAGAATATATATATATATATATATATATATACATATATATATATATTAACCACCTATTCTTAATAATAATTGACGAAATATCTTTGAAATTAAGAGAGGTTTATGATTTGCTTTCATCCATGATATGTATCATCTAACATGCAATTAGGAGATTTTATTAAAAAAAAATTAAAAAATATATATGAAATCTCCGAAATATTCGATTCATACCGAATAGACCCATTAGAATCGAATCATTGAACCGAACCGAACCGAACTGAAATGTGGTTCGGTTCAGAACGGAGATTTGTTAGGACCGGTTCGTTTACGAGATCCATTTTATTGAAATCTCCGAAGTTCAGTTTGGTTCCGGAGATTTCTGGATCTCCGAACCGAACCGACTCGTGCTCAGCCCTACCCGAGTGCACGGTCCCAACAGGATAATAAAGTCACACTCGGGCTAACCGAGGCCAACGACCCAAACCTAGAACACTAAAAACACAAACAAGAGCAAAACAACACAATACACAAAAACAAAAACAAAAACTACAAACTAAAAAAACATAAACATAAAGCCCCCCTCAGCAGAAACATCCGAGAAAGACAACAGAAAAAGCCAACTCCGAGGAGAGCTTCGAAGCTCTGTTACCTCCCCCACCACTGCAGAAGGCCTACCAAGACGAAGACCCTAGCCTCAGAACAAACCTAAAAAAACTGACCCGCACATCGACCGCAAGAAATCACAATCACCCCCCAACCGGCTAACACCACTATGCAATCTGAAATCGTCCCAAAATTGCCTAACACCACTAGCCAACTCTGGGAACAGATGGCTTCCCACAAAATCAGAAACCTAGCAAGAGGAGGAAGGGACGAACGACCTCAGAGCTTAGCCGCTTCGACCCTGCCCAAAGGAACAAACTCAGCCCGAACCAACCACCTATCCACCCAGCCCGCAAGAATGAATCCCGACCCAACACCCCAGCACAACCGAGTTACCAGAGACCAGACTCTGGACAAAACCGAATACCCACAACCGAGTTTACCGAATTATTTATGTGTATATACTCACATTATATAGTGTGTTTTACTTATCATTATTATGCATTTATTAAATGTGATAAAGTATAGACTGACCCACTAACTAGACTGTAATTATTTAAATTTCTAAAATTCCAATCAAGTCTTGAGTCTTGTATAATTTACAAAATAATGCACCATAATTGAATTGGTCTATTCTTCTATCCATCCATTGTCTCACCCTCTGCCTCATCATTCTCCTCGCCATCAGGATCGCCGGTGAGATTGAGATGATGTAATAAATATTCGTTTCAGTATGTGTGGATTTGAGAGCTTTGCGGCGAAGGGATCTTGGCGACGATGGGCGGTAGCAAAATGTTTGCGTCGACATCTAATGGCGAGATCTTGACAGCTGCGGGCAGTGGCCGGTGTGTGTGAGAGAGCTTCACTCATTGGAGGAGTGGAAGATGGTGACAATGCCAAAGGAGGTTGGAGGCCTGGGTTTCAAAGACTTGCTGATATTCAATGAAGCTCTGATTTGAAGCAGATTTAGAGGTTAGTTTCTCAACCAAACCTGTTAGTCACAAAGATTCTGAAGGGGAAATACTTTGTTGATTGCTCTTTGTTACAAGCCAAAAAGATAGTATAATGTCTCATGTTTGTGGACTAACTAGTTGAAGGTGAGAGATAAATTTAAGCAATTTTTCAGGAAAGAAGTGAGAAACGAGAGAAGTACCAACATCTAGACTGAACCTTGGATTCCAAGTGCTCAGGATGGATTACCTGAAAAGACATAATGGGGGCAAAAAGGAGTCCAAACAGTGGAGGAGCTGATAGGTGAAAATGGAAGGAGCTGGAATTTACATCTTCTCAATGAATGTTTTACAGCTGCAGACTGTGAGGCAATAAGGGAGATAACTACCTTGAATCCACAATTGGGTGATAAATGGCTCTAGACTATGGGTAAGAAAGGTAAGTTCTTTGTGGCTTGCTCTTACTCTCACATGGTGATGAATAAAACACTTATGTTGGATGTAGTTGAGGGTAATGAGTCAACTAAAGTGGATAGAAGTGTTAGTAGAAGAAGCTGGAAACTTAACAATTAACATAAACTGAAACATTTTGTATGGAAATGCTTTTCTAATAGTCTAGCTGTGAATTTGAATTTGAAGAGAATGGGTTTGGAGGTGGATCCTGTTTGTCAATGTTGTGGGGTTGATATGAAATCTGTAGAACATGTGTTACTGCACTGTCCTAGGGCTCAGTTGATTTAAAAGATAGCTCATGTGAGTTGGGAGGATTTATCTTGTACAGGGTCTTTCAAAAATTGGTGGTGGAGGATTTGTTTAGTTGACAAAAGTGAGATTTCAAAGGCAAGGATTGAACTAACTACATATATTCTATGGTAGTTATGGAAATCCAAAAACCTCTGGAAATTTCATAATACTTGGATGCCAGAGTTGGTAATTGTCAAGACAGCTCAAGGAGATTGGCAAGAATTCACTCAATGCAAAAGACTAGAAGAACAACTTTGAAGAAGAGGATGATTGTTAGGTCCTTTAGGTTCAGTAGTATCATTTTCTTTGTGCTTCTTGTGTATTTTTTTTTCCTTTAGTCTGAGGTTGAGTTGAAGGGGATTGTCGTTTGGTATTGTAGTTGATGTCAGTGTTATCTGTATTTAGCTAGCTATTGTGCTTGATTTTTTGTTGTTTACTTTGATTATGGTGTCTAAACCACCTTCAGGGTGGTTTCTGTTGTACTGGAACCTTATGAGGCTATTTAGCCTCACGACTTGTAATTTTCTTGTGGTGAAATATAATTCTATCGATTTTGACAAAAAAAAAATCCAGGCTAGGAAGACATTCACATTACTAAGACCGCCCGACACTATATTTTCCACCTTCCTAACTAACAAATCCATCTAGTCCAAACAAAGCATCAAGTTATATGATATGTCCTGCTTACATCATTACTTCTTTTTTCTTATATATATATATATATATATATATATATATATATATATATATATATATATATATCAATCACAAAACACCTTATAAATCCACACAAATATAACTCAAGCCTCAAATGAACTAAAAAAAAAAGAGCCATTCACAATCATTGTGCTCAATTTTTTTTTTTAAAAAAAAAAACGACCTTCACATCTACAAACCAACTGCAGCACTTTCACCATGGACATACGCATGTATGTTTCCCATCAATGTAGTTGAACATAGATTGTAACTTTCTTGTGGTTTGTCCATAGTATGATGATTAAGTTATACAAAACGTAATTACTTTCTTCCTTGTTCAAATTTGTTAGTCGATAATCACGGGTTGTAAGTGCGGTATCCAGCGCTGGGCCGGTGGATCTCCTGTGAATTCCCATCGCTTGAGTGGGCGTATTCACCTCTGAGCCCTAATTCACTACTGGTGAAATCCTGGCTCGACGGGGTCCCAGGCTTTTTGTCATATCTCTTCAAGTCATAGTCAGAGCTGCCACTCGACCCAAGCATTCCATTTCGGGACGACTTGATCCCTTCGTGCAGGTCGTCTAGGGAGACATCTCCTTCCAGAGCACGCACAATCTATAGGCAAAATAAATCAAATATAGCTCACTCATCTATGGAAACTCTAATCTCATGTACCAAACAGTTCAAATAATGTTAAACATTGATGCTAAAAAAAAATACTAGACCAAGGATTAAAAAATTACTATCAAGATACTTCTTAGTCATTAAGCATTCCTTAATCATCTCTATGGCGATTAGCACCGCTTTAATTATTTATATTTATAGCTAAAGTGCTGCAACAATTGTAACAAAAATGTAGGACAAATAAACATTTAAAGTACCCTGTTTCCAAAACCACTTCTTTAAATCTTAATTTTAATTTAATATATATATTTTTTAGATACCAAAAGTGGTACCAAATGTGTTCGAATGTTGTTTTTTGAGTTTAATAATAGTAACCTCTGTCGGTTTGGCTAAAAAAAATATTGTGGTACCAGAGCACAGTTTGATCAGTGTTGGGCAAAACTATTTTCACGTATCTTGTCCAAATACCCTTCCAAATACCTACAATGGTCATTTCCCAAAATAGCCATCAAATACCAATTCCTATTTTCTCGGGTAATAATTTTTACTATTGGGACATGAAAATGAAGACATATTTTATGTCCCAAGGTAAAAAACATATCCACTTTGCCTACAACAAACAAATAAAAATGGACCAGGAGAAAGAAAAAGATTGTATGGCTCTCTTCAAAGTACAAATGGCTATAACGGAGTCTTTGTTTCCAAGAGTCAGCGAAGCACAAATACCAAAGGAGCCTTGACATACTCTAAGAGAAGAATATTAGGGTAGTGATATGGTACGACACCTCAAATTACAAACTCTAAGGAGAGATTTGAAAATATGAAGATGAAAGAATATGATATCATAAAAGATTACTACACTCGATTATGAGAAGTAGCAAATCAAATAAAAACGTAAGGAGAAAATATCACTGGCAAAATGGTGGTCAAATTTTTTTAATTACTCTACCAACTAAATATGATCCTACTGTTATAACAACTAAAGAAACTAAATATTTGGATAATTTGTCTGTGACTGAATTAATAAGTTCACTTGAAGCCCATGAGAAAGAACTGATTATGCGTGAAAATGATTCAGTCGAAAACTCATGTAAGTAAAAAATAAATTTACGGTCTCATAATTCTAAA